ATAGATTCTTGTCTAGGGATTTTGTTTTGTCAGGGCCTCGTGCATTAGAGACAAGCACTTTACCACTGAGCTACATCCCCAGCCCTTGTGCTTGGTTTTATAATGACATAAGCCATTTAGCACTCATCACATGCCCAAGCTTCCCTCCTTGCCCCTCTACAAGTTTTCCTTGGATGATCTATCAGGATTTAGTTGTAGATCCAAAGAGGAGAGCTTTGGGCTTGGTCACTTTTGAAGTTGGAAAACTAATCTGTGCTAAACACAAAAATGAAACCAAGAGCAAGCAAATCTACATATCTTAGAAACAGCTACTGCTTCCTTCCCTCATGGCTACTCACTCCACTCTTCCTCCTCCTTTGCCGTTGTTTTAAATACAATATATTAATGTGATATGGTGTGAGATCTGGGATTCAGAAAACCAGGTATGATTTTTAGTTCTGTTCTCTACCAGCCATGTCCTCTAATTATTCATAAAAACTGTTTGGCCTTATCAACAGAATCTGTAAAATTTGATTAGATGGGAATCGCATGAGTTGGACTTTAGATCCTGTCCATTTCTAAAAATGACTCAAAAGACCACATGGAACCTGTAACCAGGCCCCTGACCAGGACCCTGTGTGTTTGGAAAGATGATAAAAGAGCTTTAGGGACCCAGGAGGGGAGAGGAGGAGGGCTCAGCGGTAGAGCACTTACCTAGCATGCATGTGGCCCAGGGTTCAGTCCCTAGTAGCTCTCCAAAAAAGGGGGTGCCCAGGCACTCCTAAGTTCTATGGAAAACCCTGTGTGAGTTGGCCACATCATCTTGGTCTGCACAGGGGTTTTCTTGTCCTTTTTCCTATCAGGTAATGACAGTCTATGGCTGCATTATATATACTATGCATTAGTGTATATAAAGTGTCATCTTTTTCGAGAAGAATAGTAGTGTTTTCCTTTGGGGGAGTTTCAGGGTGGATTTGGTGTTTTGTTTTGTTTGCTGATTCATCATCACTGAATTTCCTGAAGGGAACTAGAAGGCTAGCTAGAGGAGAACGGCAAACCCAGAAAAGCAGCTTCCCCAAGTCCCACCAAGAGGAGTGACAGTAGTTCTCAGTTTGGAGTTAGAGGCCAGCTTTTCTGTTTCTACTTGATTCGGTTCATGAAATGGCCTCCACATGTCCACCAGCCATTGGTTTGGACATCAGTATGTGGGGTGTAGGGCAAGCAGGCACACCAGGGCTACCTCAGCAAGTGACATGTTCTGGTTGTCACCCTCAGCTCTGCAGTTCTGGGGACAAGCCCTTCCAGCTCCAATCTTCCCCCAACTACTTCATTTTCCAGTCTGTACCTACAGGATGTCACAGTACCTACTGTGTGCCGGTACTATGCCAGCCCTGGGGAAGAAATACTGAAAAAAACTGAGTAAGTTTTGCCTGAGTGAAAAATATACAGCCATATGTATACTACAGGTCCTGTCCTCATCCAAATTTTAGGCTACAAGAGTGCTTGATTGACCCTAAAAAGATTAAACTGTGACATTGGATTTTATTCAAAGCTGCTTATTCTATGACAGGTCCCTCCTAAAGAGTATTCAAAGAGGTTTGGTGTAGAAACTCCACTTCTCTCTCCTGGTACTGATGATACTCTCCAAGGGGGTACATTACTGAGTTCTTCTCATAAAATGGTCCCAAGAACAGTTTTATGAACCCCTAGAATAACTCCCACAGCTACTCATGTCCCCTGTTAGAGAACGTATCACTGCTACAAGATTGGCAAACATGAACCAGCCTGGTGGCGATCTGGCAGAAGGAAAGCTCGGAAATTAGCACTTGTCCAGGCTGTTAGAATTCCTGTGAAAATTGCAGGCTCACATCGAATGAATTTGTCAGGAGGGGAATCATTTGCTAGTGTTCTGACCACCATCCTGGAGAACTGGTTTAACATTCACCCCTTCCTCACCCCAGCTCTGGACGAGTGCTGGCTCTGTTTCACTCCTAGTGCACCACAATCCTCAGAGGTCACCCCATTCGGAAGGGGCCAAGTGGTAGCTGGGGGCCTTGGACGATGGATCTGCCTCAAGGGAGTTCCAGAGCAGACTTTTTCAGTTCAGATAGCATTCCCTGGATACCTGCTGACTCTTACATGCTGCCTGAAGCACTGGACACACCTAAAAAGAAAATGGAACACTCTCTGCCCTGGAGAAGCTTCCAGGGAGCAGCAGGATCTAGGTGGTCAGATCTGTAGTAGAGATACACCTCTATGCCCACAGGGCTTGGGAGGCATAGAGGTGAGGTTAGGAGGAGGCTCTCTCAAGATCACTGAGTTGTGAGAAGCTTCTGAGTGTCTGTGAAGATACTGTAGCAAGGAGACTGAAAGCACCAAAGCCTGGAATGTGGAAGGGGGTGGACTGTGAAGCCAGAATGTTAGAGAGGCAGTAGGGCAGTGCACGCACTAGGGTACAGAATTTAAGGTCGGCACCCCTTTTCAAGGTCGGCACCTGAGAGCATTTGTCACCTTAACATTTGCCCCTGCGCCTGCCTCGCTTGCTCAGCCCTGCAGAGGGTGGTCTCCATTGGCCTGTGTCTTGCTAAGGAACTGGGACTTTATCTTTAGATCATGGAGGTCTTTGAAGGGTTTGAAGCCAGGGAACTGACTTGGCAGGACTGGCCTTTTAGAAATACCACTCCAGCAGCTGTTAGGGCGGGGCTGGACTGCAGACAGGTAAGAGGTTGTGCTCATAGTTCAAGTGTGAACTGGGGAGGACAGAAACATGGTGTAAGTTGGGATGGGGGGGGCTTGTTATAAAATTCAGGAGGTAAAAATCAGATCTGAGTTGAATGTTGGAGATGAGGAAGGAGGAAAGCTATCTGATCGCTGCTGGTTTCTAGGGCAGCCCTGTGCAAGAGAGATAAAGAAATCAAGTGGTAAATGGAGAAGGAAGAAGAGGAGGTGGCATCGGGTCGGTGGGCAGGCTGGGGAGAGGTGCTGGGAGAGCTGTGGATTTGGCCTCAAGAACACGGAAGGTTAAGGAAGCCATGGGGCGCCCAGGTGGTGACATACAGCCGGCGGCTGGACAGGTGAATATGATGGTAGGAGAGGAAAGAGAGCTTGAGATACAAATGGGCAGAGTGCACTTTGTAGATTGAGCCACGTGGCTTTCCCAAAAGGAAATGTCGATCCAGGAAAGCAGCAATCTAAGGACCAAGCCCAGGGGAACCCTAGGAAACCACTTCCAATATTTAAGGTGCAAGGAAGCCCCCAGTAAAGGTACTGCTGAGGGAGATGGTGAGGGGCTGCTGGTCATCGAGCTAACAGAAAGGTGTGTAGGAGACTTGGAGTGGCCAACACTGTCAAGGCTCTAGGAAGGTCAAGTCCCAGGAGGCCTGGGGAAAGTTTGTGATTGTAGTCTGACCCCATTTGACAGTGTGGTCAGGGCAGAAGCTGGATGGGGACAGTTTGAGGAATGACAGAAAGTGAGGAGAGAGAGGATACAGACCAGTGAGAGATTCCCAACTAAGACAACTTTCTCGAACACCGAGGCCTGGGCCCAGGTATTGTGGTTCATGTGCTTGTACCTGAACCAGGGACCTGAGTTAATGGAAGGGATTGGTGTTGAACCTGCTCTCGGGTAGCTGGCACAGGAAGAAAAGAGAGTGCTTCCCTGTATGGGGATGCAGATGCAAGTTAAGAGGTTTCCTTTAAGGACAGAGGGCAAGCAGAATGGTTGAGTGGGCCGAGAATCCACTTAAAAACTGAGACCATGGATTTGTGATGGCTTCTGTCGGTGCTTCTGAGAGTTTTCTCCAGTGTCTCTCAGCAGCACGGAGTCAAAACTGAGAAGGCGAGTCAGGGGAATAGGAAGGGCAAGAGTCAGGGTGTAAGGCTGATCAGTGAGTGCCACCACCCGTGGCTCAGGTCATAGACAGTGCACCCTTAGAAGGTAGTGAAGGGGGTGAGAGACAGAAGGACATGTGGCAGGGGAATGACACCAGGGACCTGACAGTCTCCAAGAGGAGCAGACCTGGGAGGAATGAAGCATGAAGGCCAGGAGGCCACAGACGTTGGCAACAGAAGGGTGAACCTCTTAGTGGATGGCAAATTTCCGAGGCCATCTGAAGAGGAAACATGGTGGAAAAAATACTGTCACGAAAATGCCTTCCGTGGGTCTAACTGTGAAGTGTAAAAGTGGCCTTTTTGCCTGAAAATGAATAACCTGTGGTTCGGTTTAGCAGT